CGGGTGAAATTTCATCCATTTTTTGCCCTTCAGCAGCAGCCTGGGCATGAATTTCCCCCACCTGCCCTAGGGTGAGATGCCCGAAAAGGCAGCTTGAAGGGGGCTGTGAGAAATGCAGATTCTCAGCTCGGCTTTGCAAATCTGTGGAGCCTGGAATGGGGTTTAGATACTGTATAAGGATGGGGAGAGGCTAAAGAGAAAGGACAAGGGGGCAAAAAAAGGAAAGTGGATATGGTTGCACCCATTTGTAGTAACGCGGTGATGCTGGGAGCAGGTGAGCTCATGGGAAGGCTCCTCTGGACTGAGCAGACTTTGCATATCTGGGGCAAACAGCCCAAATCTGCCCAGTCCGCCATCAGACTCCGTTTTGGAGAGTCCTTAAATCAGAGGTTTTCCCCATCTATACCCAGAGTTATGGCATAAAGGGCTGCACTACTACAGGTTGGAAAACAGATATTTTTTTTTCCTCAGCAGTTACCATGTCCTAGAGATTCTCCATATTCTTAGACCCGTTATTAAAGCGTTTTGTATTTATTCTGTCTTCTACAGCTACAGAAGAACGAATTGTGCCATGTCTGGTGTATGCCATTATAGTGAGAGAAACGATGAAAAATGCAAAGGAAAATCCCCGCCTACCTGCACGGTCAGAGCTCCGTTTTCCTGTTTACTCTCCTTATACTTCCTTTTCTCCAGCAACAGGGAGATTTTGTTTTTCTTAAAAGGATGGAGAGGGGGTGGAAAGCCTGTGCTAAGCCTGTGACCCCTTCCAGGCTCTAAAATGGTAGCCAAAGATACCTCCTTGTGCCTCACAGGAAGCTGGAGTTTAATACATTGTAAAGGGGAAAAAAAATCCCCAAATAAACCCCCCAAAATCCAGCTTGAAAAAAATAAATAAATAAAAATTTCAAAAATCCATGCTATGTGCTGCAGGTAGGGAGCAGATGTTGTGGCCAGAGAGGATAGGGTTTCTTGTGAGTGATGAGAAGGAGATGGGGGATGATACAATTCTGAAAGCAATAAAATCCAGCCTCTGTTCCCTTGCTGTGACACAGGCCCGGTGCCACCCCTGTGCTAAGGATCCTAAAATCAAGGGGGTGGTACAGGGCTGTTACCTGCTGTCACCCATACGGGCAGCTCAGCCTTGCTGCAATGTCCTGTAGTTAAACTTCATTACAAAACCCCTTGGTCTGGCTTTTGGTTTGCTTCTTTTCCCCTTGAAATAACACATAGTGTACGCCAAGAGATTAGAGATGGTGGGTTTTTTTTTTTTAAATCCTTATGCCACCTGATCGGAGTAAATTTGTAAGGAAAGTTTGTCTGGGACTATCCAAAAAATGAATATATTTGAGTGGGGATTCGGGGATTGGGCAGTGATGCAGAGGGATGGAGAAGAGGTGGATGGATGGATCTATGGATATGTGGATGGATGGATCTATGGATATGTGGATGGATGAATATGTTTTGGAAATATGATGTTTGTGGATACATGCGTGCATTGAACATACAGCTACACTTTCAAACATACATTAAGGCGAAGGTCACGTTTCTTGCCTAAAACGCTCGTTATTTGAATGACTAATTTCTAGTCACCAGTACTGATCTGAAAGGTAAAAAACCAGCAGGCCAGGACTTGGTCTAATCCCAGCACCATCACCCACCGTTCCCACTCCCATCTCCGAGCGTTCCTAATTCTCTGCACCCTAAATTCACCTCTAAAGACCATGCCATTGAAGCCCTTTAGGATCCCTTAAAATATCTTTATTATCAACTGAAAAGCTGGCGCCCAGAGATTAAGAGGAGGCTGTTTAGCATAAAATCAGTCTGCTGCTTAGGAAAGGCTCCCTGCTCCTGCTTCCCTGCCCGGAATTTCCAGTTCTTGCATTTGGGTTTCCAAGTTTTCGGAGCAGAGGGTTTTTTGGTGTGGCTTTCCCTCCCGCTCCCCCCCCAGGATTGCACTGGCCACCCTCTGACTGCTGGAGAAGCCAGAAGTTCAAATGATGATAGCAAAGATATTAGGAGACACATGGAGCAGGACAGGAAAAACAGCCTGAGGAAGGAAAAGCAATCTCCAAAGTGTGCTAAAGGGGGACATTCTGCTTTGTGTAAAAGAGACGGACATGTGTCCACCAAATGTTGTCTTACCCTAAAAAGGAGGAGGGGGGGGGAAGAAGCTTGTGGCTGCTCCAAATTCTAGAAAACCCCCCTTCCCCCCCCTCAGTACCTCTGCTTTGAACTCTTTTTTTTTAAATTTTTTTAAGGAGCAAGAAGGGGGAGATAGATGTGAGTTGGTTCAGGTGTGGACGAAACTCACCCCCCACCTCTGCTGCAGATGTGGCGACTTGCCTTTTTTTAGAAAAGCAACCTCTCCAGAGTTTTCAACCCCTTCTATCTTGCTGGATCTGCTCCATTTTGCTCTCTTTTGCTTTATCTTACGCGGCCGCGGAGCCGGAGCCTCCGGCCGGGGCCACCTGCCCGCTCCACCCCGGGGCAGCCCCCGCAGCAGCCCCTCGCCCTCTCTGCTCCCCTGCTTTTCCCTAACTTGTTTATTTTCCCAAAGCAAAAGGCTGCTGCCTGCCTTTTCCAGAACAATGTCAACCTGAAAGGGGGAGAAGGCGATTTGTGAGATATCGGGGGGGTGTCAATAATGTCTGCGGTTCCGAAAGCAAACTGCAGCCTCTCTGATTATTATTCTGTAGCACTTCAAGCCAGGCTGGAGACATAACAGCGGTCATTCAGTGTCTCCATATGGCAGAAACGAACTACGGAAATATGAGGACATTCGTTCATATTATTGGGAAAAAAAAACCCCAGAAATCTAGGAGAGAAAAAAAGAAAAAAAGAAAAAAAGAAAAAAAAGAGAGAACGTAACCCAAAAGCCAACCCAAGTCTCTACACAGGCCGAAAGGAAACATTAAAAAAGTGCACACATTTCTTTGGCAAGCAGGTGAGAATAATTAAACTCAAAAGGTGTTAACAACCTGAGGAGCACAGACAGAATCAGGCAATTGAAATGCAAAGACAATGGCCAGATCTTGAGCTGTTTGAGCAGCCACAAGCCCCACCGCCGAGAAACCCAAACTTTGTCTGAAGTACACGCGGCCCCCGGCGCAGGACGCGTTTGTCTTGCGATGGTCATGAATCTTTACCGATTTTCCTCTATTTCTCCCCCTTCCACAAAGTTTCCTTGCGGGCCTGTAACGCAATTCCAGCTCTCGGGAGGGTAAGGATTAGGAGGTCCTAAAAGTGAGAAATCAAGCTCTGAAAGAGAGACAGACCCTCTTTCCTCCCCGCTCAGCTTTCAGGCATAGCAACCCTTGAAAATAGTTTAAGTAGATAATATTTCAGAAGAAACTTACTTTCAGGACTGCAGTCTATTGGCTCCCTGGACTGAAAAGTGGACCCGCAAAACATGTTCCCTGCAATTGCCACGTTTATCTCATCTGGAAAAGTGCTCACCCATTGCTGCCCCTTACAAGCCAAACCAAGCAGTTAAAGTGTCACTTAACATTCTAGAGAATGTGAAATATATTGTACATTGTCAACTCCCCAAAACCATAAAACTAACTTTATGGACCTCACGTGACTTTTGAGAGCCAGTGAGGGGTATCTGTCTGAGGTCTGGGCGATTTTTACGATCTAACTTCTAGATAAAACCCTATCCATTTGACATCTAAATGTCATACCCACTTTTGGTATAGTTTGCTATTGGTAAAAAAAAAAAAAAGAGAGAGAGAGAGAAAAAATATCAAGGGAAGGCGAGCAAATGGTTTGGGATCTGACAGTCCACTTCACATCCCTCTCAAAATCACTTAAGAAGTACCTAAACAGTGGGAGATTAAGTTTGGTAAGTTTTAAGCTCCAACTTTACTTGCTACGAACAAGGAAAAAAAAAATAAAAGGGAAAAAACCCGCCTAAGCGGTATTGTAGAGGTGTCAGTGGCGTTTTGCCAAAGCGAGCGACTTTAAACCGAAGTAAGTGGTGCCTTGTTAGATTCCCTAGGTAGGGAAATGGCAACATTTGCCATCTTTGATGATGTTAAATTATCTGCAGCTGAAATGAGTCGTTGTGGTGGCAGTAGTTACAGAGCTGTGAGCTGTTATTTACATGTTGAGTCGGAGATTTTAGGAGGTAAAAGCACAATAAACCGAGAGGAGAGGTGGCGGAGAGAGAAACAGCTTAGCACAGAGATGTCTTATATATATACGTGTTATTTATCTATAAATATATATAATAAATATATCTATACAAACACACAGATCTGTAATTCTATAGAGCACATGTTTACGTGTACATATATGTGGATATAAATACCTCTCGCTTTAAAAATGTGTCTAGATTTATATCTGCCAGTGTTTGAAGTGCACGGAAATCTGCCGGGGCAGCGTTTATTCCGCGTTAGCGCGACTTGGAGTACTTGGATCCAGTTTGGCTGCTGTTGTGGGGGGGTCTGTGCTGGTTTGGGGGTGACGGCGTTGTGGCGGTTTATGCCCGGGCGGTGCCAGAGGGGTGTTTGAGGTGAATATTTGGTGTTTTGGTGCTTCTCAGCTCTGCTGAGGGCTGGGAGCAGGGCTCAGCTCCATGCCAGGCTTCAACTGGGAGTCTGGACTTGTGGATAAAGTGCAACTGGGAGCCTTTGTGAATAGGAGAAACGTTTATTTGACTTCAAGTAAAGCTACAAACAAATACAAAAAGCTTATTGGCAAAGTACTACCAGGCAGCTAGACATGACGGATGCCATTTTTACACATAACATTGCATTCACTCTGCCCACTACGAACCGTCTATTAGTCACATCAGAAATATTTCTAGTATTTACAAACATTAGAGCACTCTATTGTTGGTCCGATTTTATACATTTATTTTTTTTTTAATAGTGAAGTTTACCCACGTCTAAGAGTACGTCTGGGAATTAGCCTGGGATTAGGAATCCTGGCCTGAAGTTTGAACTAAAACACAGACTGGACAATTTTAAGACAGAAAGATACAAGAGCTTTTGATTTTTTTTTCCCTATTTTTTTATTTTTCTTTTTTTTTTTCAAAGATTTTTGTTTTGTTTTTTTAGACTATTTTTTTTCTGCGACTGTAGTGCAGGAACCCCCGATTTTAGCTTAGGCAGAGAAGAACTCACCCAAAAGCAGTAAACTCAGGAAAGGGGAGGGGAAAAAAAAAAGGCAACAAATAAACAAACAACCGTATCTGTTCTCAATTTATAAATAAGTTATAACATTTAAAGGGCTCACATAAAACATGCTAGCTTTCCAGAAAGCATCAAGAGAGCACGGACACGTACATTTATAAGAACAACAAGAGCATGAGGAGCATCTGGAAATAAAATTTAATTTTTTTTTTTTTTTAAAAAAGAACAAAAATCAAGAAACAGAACACGACATGAACTCAGTCCTGGGATAAAGGTACCATACGCGTTGTTTTAGGGTATCAACAACATGCCGAAAAGAAGGTGCCTCACTGTACAGTACTCCGAAACTAAGATCTGCGGCGCTTTATTTCTTTCTTTATTGACGCGTTTCTTCCTCGGTCTCCTCTTCTGCCCTCGGTATTTGAATTTATGGCTGAAAGGCGCTGCCCGCCGAGGCCAAGCTCATGCTTTTCAGTTTATTATCCTTCTTCCACTTCATCCTTCGGTTCTGGAACCAGATTTTGATCTGGCGCTCGGAGAGGCAGAGAGCGTGGGCGATCTCGATCCTCCTCCTGCGGGTGAGATATCTATTGAAGTGGAATTCCTTTTCCAACTCCAGGGTCTGGTACCGAGTGTACGCTGTCCTCGCCCTCTTCCCGTCTGGTCCAGTCATGTCTGAATAACACGGACAACAGCGGGGGTTGGGGGTTTTTTTGCTTATTTGCTTATTTATTTTTATTCCTTAAGGCTATTTTAATATATATATTTAGATACAGAGACAAATTATTCATCTTCTTCGAGCAGCTAGGAAAGCTACTTATTCCCCAGCTAACATCCCCCCCTCTTTCTCGCACACCCCCAGACACGTGTAAGCCCCCCCACCCTTGGCCCCTCCAGAACCGACATTCGCGACTCAATATTCATAATTTCACTGGAGAAAAGAGACTTTGAAATCTGCCTTTTTCGCCTTTGCCCGAGTGTTTCTGGCTCTATTTGCAGGGGCATCTGCTTTAACGCTGCTTTCTTTTCTCCAGCAGAAAAACGGGGCGTGAAGGGGGTGGGGGAGTCGCTATTCCCGGTGTATTTCCTCGCAATTTTGGTTTTGTCAAGAGCAGATTGTCAAGAATACACCCAGCAAAATAAGAGTAGGAAGGACTGAGAGACCCATCTGTGCATATAATGCCATTTTAATGGTCAATTCTTTCCGTTCTTCTCTCTCCCCCCCCAAAGAAACACCCCCTTCCCTCAGTTTTTAAATTACCTTCTCCCACCATCCACATAGAGCTAAGAGCTTGAAATAAGCGCACATTTCGCGACAAGAATAGCGAAACTAAAATAAAATCGCACCCCCCACCCCTTCCAGGCGCCAGAGGCAGCTTTAAAGCAGCGATCAGAGCAAGAAATACAAAAGCAATAAATAGCTGTGTTTCTAATCAAAGCGCCTCCACCGAATAAAAGGAAGGAGAGAGGGGAAAAAAGGCAAGGGGGGGTGGGGAGGAAAAAGAGGGGGAAAAAAAAACCCAAACCCCAACAAACCACAAGAGAAAAAGCGAGGGGTGTGCGAAAATAAACAACAACGACAAGGACGGAGGAAGGAAAAAAAAAGAGAAGTAGCTGTACCATGGCTAATGTGAAGTTTCCTCATCCAAGGGAATATCTGAGGTGCCTGCCCTTCTGCTGCCGCGGTGGAGGTGGCGATGGGCTCTGCCTGCGCTCGGGGGATGCTGCTGCTTACTGGAGTGCCCTCGTCGGCTCCCGAGGACGCGCTGGTCTCGTCTAGTTCTGTGAAATTAGTGGTGGTGGTGCTGGCAGAAGTAGCTTGGTCGGAGGGGGACGGGGCGGGTTTGCCTCCATGGCTTTCGCTGTTGGAGCAGGGCAGGGAGTCGGGAGAAGATAAGGAGCAGCTGGACGCCTGTCTAAACCTGCTCTCCTGAGCTGGAGAAGGGAAACCGCGGGAGCTCTCCCCCACAGCCCCAAAGTGACTAGAGGAGGCTGAGCGGTTGATGCTAAGGTCCATCCCATTGTAGTTGTAGCCATAAGAGCTGGAGTGCATGGTGCTTGGATCTCTGTAGGAACCGTTCATGGAACTGCCGGTCCCATAATTTAGTAACTGATAGTCGGGGCCATTTGGGTAGCGCCCTGAGAACGAGTTTACAAAGTAAGAGCTCATTTGGGTTATTTTGGAGGGCTTGATTTGTGGCTCGTGGTCGTTATAACCCTGTGCTTGACGATTTATGATGTATTAATGAATTATAGCAACGCACTGTACTTCGTTTTTGCTATGTATGCGGCCAAATATGGGGGGAGGGTGGGGGTGCGTTTGGGAATCACGTGCTTTTGTTGACCAGTCGTAAATTCTCACTGATGACCTCAAGAGGTAATTCATGCTCTATGGTTACAAATAATGACGAGCGCGGAGCCGTTTAGGCCCGAGTCGGTGCGCGGCGCCCCAAACCCCCGGGCGCGCCGGCGCCGCGCT